GAGGAAGATCCACATTTTTATCGAAAAATTATGTTCAGCGACGAAGCTCATTTCTGGTTGAATGGGTACGTTAACAGGCAAAATTGCCGCATCTGGAGTGAAGACCAGCCAGAAGCATTGCAAGAGCTACCAATGCATCCCGAAAAAATCACTGTTTGGTGTGGATTATGGGCCGGTGGCATCATCGGGCCTTACTTCTTCAAAAACGACAATGGCCGGAACGTAACTGTGAATAGCGAGCGAGCGCTATCGTGCGATGATAACAAACTTTTTTTTGCCCAAAATGGAAGAGCTGGACTTGGCTGATATGTAGTTTCAACAAGACGGTGCCACATGCCACACCGCACACGAAACAATGGCCCTATTGAGAGGCGAGTTCGATGAACAGTTTATCTCACGTTTGGGGCCCGTCCATTGGCCGCCTAGATCGTGTGATTTAACGCCGTTGGACTATTTCTTGTGGGGCCATGTTAAGGCTAATGTCTACAGGAATAAACCAGCAACGATTGACGCACTGGAAGCCAATATTGAAGCATTTATTCGTGAGATACCGGCCGATATGTTGAAGAGGGTGTGCCAAAATTGGACCTTGCGCATGGGCCATCTAAAGCGGAGCCGCGGCCAAGATTTACATGAAATAATCTTTAAACATTCTATCGACTCAAATAAAGATTTAATCGTTGTTACAAATTTTTTGTGTTTTTTTGTTTAAATCAAATCCTATACCTCTTAAAAAATCAGCCGTTATATATATATATATATATATATATATATATATATATATATATGCGTGTGTGTATATCCATAACAAATAAAGATATTGATCTGCGGTTATAACCAGTTTATAGTATTTGTAACGCAAATTTAGATAAATAAAAAAGTAATATCGTTGTATTTGAAATGTCAGAGTACTCTTTCAAGTAAAATCAAGATCATCGGAATCAGTGCAGCCACCATAAACTAAAAAAAAAAAGGGAAAACGACATAAACAAAGCAGTTCGTAAATTCAGGGGTCAAAGATAAGGTTATTTAATGAGTGTGCCAATTTTTGCAGTGTGATGTTTTTATACAAGACCTGAACTAGAATACTGTTCACATGTCTGGAGTGCTGCCGCTTCGGCTAATGCCGTTTAGATGAGGGATATCGGAGTCTCTCGGACCGATAGGCGGTAGGGGATCTGACAGTATAACAGCAAAGGAGGAAATGGCGTCAAGAGATCGACCTTGCACTGCCTGCGCATAGGGCATTATGTAAGGCATGAGTTAGCTCCTTTGGGGCCAAAAGTCAGCTTCGAATGAAAAAATAGATGGATCAAGTCCGTCAAACAGGCCCTTACAGTTAGTCCATAGTCCGCGCACCTCAAAACGTTGCGGTCTAGCATTTGCTGCACTGCCTTACCGAGAGTTAAAAAGTCTTTATGATTAACCTCGTTATTGGCCAGCTACCTATTGACCAGACATCAATCAGACCCCGGGGCAGTTCTATATACGAGGTCAGTAAATTAAGTGATGAAACTGGCAAAGTAGCTTTCGAGCTGGCAACAATAGGGGCGCGGGGCTGCGAGGGGAGAGAGGGTGACTTGTGATCCACCTTCAGTACAAGTTTAAACTCGCTCGAGTCATTTGGTTATTGGTAGCGATTTTTTTGTGAAGCAGTATTTTTTATTGTGTTCTAAGAATGAATGGCATCAATTTCGAGCAATGATGTGCTATCAGGTTTTGCTTCAGACTTGGGCACAGTGCAACGGAAACCCTTGCTAAACTTGAGCAGGCCTATGGAGATAGTGTTTTGTAATGAGCCCCGGTTTCTCGATGGTTTAAGGCAATTTTAGAAAAGAGAGAGTCGTTTGAAGATGAAGCATGAAGCATGAAGCGGTAGGCAGAATCCGGGATCTTGAGCATTTAGATCGTCGGTTGACATTCGCCATAGTGCTACTTGTCACACACCAATGTCAATAAACGCAGTCTTGGCCAGTTAAAAGGTTCCTGTTTCTCCCCAGCCTCCTTTTTCGCCTGATTTGAGCCCTTGGGACTTTTTTCTCTTCCTGAATCTGAATAATTACCTCAAGGGACAGTCGAAGCAGTGGAAGGAGCGGAAGCACTGTGTGGCTTCAGAAGGAATTCATCACTTAATTTACAGACCTCGTAAATGTCCGTTGTGTTGCGTGGAATATGTGTGTTGATGTTATTTCTCTTTTCGTCATGTCCATGCTATCCAATTTTCCTTCCAGTTGGTCTGGAAAGTAAAATGTATTATCTAACTTTTGGAACGCTGGCCAGCAGGTATGTTGATCGAGTTGTACATGTAGCTGTAAATATCGCGATGGAACGGAACATTTTTGTTCGATCAACTGACCCCTTATAGCAGTGATTGCATCTAGGCTACAACAAAAAAATCCTGCATCCCAAATTAATACGTCCGAATATGCAATAGTTTACGAGTACGAGTGCGATCGGGAACTGTGTAAACAAAAAGCGAATGCAATCAATAAAAAAAGCTCGAAATAAGCGAAAATACGAAAAAATCATCGTTCCAAACCGTTGGGCAGCCAGCAATATACCGATGTATAAATTTGCGCAGCGTTTCCGAATAAATTTCCGCCAAGATCACCGGTTGCGATCGACTACTGAATTTGTTTATTGTAATGAGGTGTAACGTTCATAAAAAGCATCAACGCCGACTTATTCATACCTGATAAGCGCCTGCTGACAAATTATTCGCGAAGTTGAGACCATTCTTCGCGTCTCAAGCCCACAGAGGCGTGGAAATAAGTGGAAGCCACCGGAATTGTAGAACTGCTTCTCTCTAGATCTAAAATTCTAGAATATGCAATGTAACTTTTTCGCCTTTACCAGAAACATACAAAGTCGTGTCGCTTAGGTGACCAGTGTCCAATTCATACATGCCATCAAGGTTAGCTATACGTATTTCTACCATTTCTGAGGTTATTCTGGACATACAAAACTGTTACTATATGACTATTATAATATTTAGATGATATCCTACTTTTTCAGTCTGTATGTTAACCCGTTCGGAAATCATTGGCATCTATATAACCATATCTTTGAAATTCCTGTACCTTGCCGAACAAGAAGCGAGAAGGGCTGTGAGTGAGTGGAACTTTGCAAGATGTATTAGTGTGTTATTTATACATTATGTTCTGGTGGAAAACTTTTTTGCTAAAGTTCAACCGATAAAGCTAATATGCATTACAACAAGCACCATATGGCTAACAATTCTATTGCTTTCTATTATATTTCATATTTTTGGTGTTAAACACCTCTCAGGAGCGAACATTTATCAATTTAGGAACATACTGGAGAGTTTTTTAGGCGTTACCGATACACCTACCGGTTTCTGGGGCACCCCCATGGTTCCCCGCTTGCATTCCGTAAAATATTTATCAACAGCTAAGAGTAATGTGGCAGTTAAATCGTTTGGTAATTCACCTTGATAATATACCGAAGTTATGAAAAAGAACACAGTGCGACACCTTGATGAACAAGGGTGAGCGTAGCGTGAGTTGTACCAAAGAGTCGTTCATTTCGACTGATCGGTGTCCAGATGACCGGGGACTTGATCTGGCATGAACACATTTCATCAATAGCGGCAGCTGCTGAGAAAAAGCTACGGCTAAGCTATGACTTCCTCACTCTGTACAAGGTCCAAGCAAGACCTAACCGAGGGTACTGCTCACATGTTTGGGGTGTTGTCACCCTGACTACATTATCCGTGCTCGATGCTGTTCAGAGAAGGGCCATCCGGCTGATCGATGCCTCTTCTCTAACGGACAGTCTCGGGATCCTTACACTCCGGCGGACCATCGTGGATCTAGCTCTCTTCTACCTCATCGCCAATATGCTTTGCTCCTCAGAGCTCTCCTACATGATGCCGCCGCGTGACGAGTCTGCCAGACAGACCCGCCTGACCTCGGCCTCCCATCCAAACCGTGTTGAACTTCGTACATCCAGAACTGCATGATACAATCGCACTTTGTCCCTAAGGTATGGACATGAGGAGGCTTTTACCAGTTGTACTAACCTTAGGCAGCTCAAAAAACGGATTAACAAAGTTTCTTATTGATAAGTTTTGGTAAACTTAAATATCTCGAGAGGATTAGTCATTATGAGAGTTCGCGTTTTGGTGGCATTGCTAATAAATGTTTATCTTTATCTTCTCATATACTATTTTTTACTTGATGTATGTAAAATAATCTATTCGAGATTAACGCTAAGCTTGATATAAATGCTAATATTGTTATTCGGAATCAAGCTTATTACGCATTACCATAAAGTATTATAAAGCAGTGACGTGCAGGGTAATATGTTGGACCAAGACAACACACTTTTATGAGCATTATTGATGTTAAAGCCGAGCTACATGTCTATTTATAATTCAATGTCTCCACATAGTAAGAGACGCCTTGATCTGCTACCTTGTTGCTATCAGTAAGTCAAAACATAGTACTAAGGGGGTCTTCGGTGAGCAAGTGCATCTGAACCGTGAAAAAACGAAAGCCCTGCAAAGTAAAATTAATTGTTTTTTTGCAGCCCCACAAAAATCACAAGGCCTTTTCGTCCTTGGTAAAGTAGTTGCTTCGTGTCAAGGTTTCATCAAAAGCAGACCGGTACTTTCCAAGTTATAGAAGGGACAAGGATAGTTGACAGACAGAACGACAAACAGATAAACCGACGGAAATAAGTGGCATGGTTGTTCTTGGTATACTCGTAGTCATCTATCATCACAAAAAAACTCATTTCCTAAACTGTTCTGGGTCTGTCTGTTCTTGGGTCCGTCCGTTTATATGTCTGCCCCTCTACCTCAGAAGCAGTTAAAACGTCATTTGATCAAAATATTATGTAACGTAGCTTCATTTTCATCAGTAAAAAAAAGAAACGGACAACCATCAGATCGTTCTCCCATGTCCGATTTGTCAGATGAGCGTGTCAGCAACAACGAGTATGTTTAGCAGACAGCAACTTGAGAGGTATAAAAACATGGGCGCCGGAGGGATTTGAACCTGCACCACCTCATTTCGTGTAGGCGATCTAACCAATTGGTCTGCAGCGTCTGCTGCCATCGACGCCACTGTTCCTATGTTCTATTAAGCTGCTTGATGCCTTATCTGTTCCCTATGTTACTGTCCTAGTACAGTGCGGTATCGTGGTATGTACCCACGAGGCAGCGTGGTGAAACTAGAAAGCGATTGATGATACCTTACCAATCCGGTTTGATTCACTTGGACGCCGCCAGATGGGGCATCAAGCAGCTTGAAAGTACAAAAAATAGTAATAATATTAATAATATTAAGTGGCATTTATTCGTCGCATGATTACAAAATAATTGGCTTAAGAGGAATAGTGACGAAAAGGTGGAGTGTCAGCTTATGCTGTCTTTCAACCCGACCTGAAAAGCGTTGACACAAACAATAAAGAAAAAAAAAGTATTTACGTTTAAATGGCACAGTTCACAACATTGACCACCAAAAAGAAAAAAGCTTAAAATATTACACTTCTCAGAAAAAGGAAACAATCAATTACCTGTGGATATGCGTAAAGTTAAATTCTAGCCATCCGATTGCTTTAAACTCATCTTTAACCTTTTTTTTTAAAATGGTTAGGCTACATTTTTTATACTCACTTGACAAGCAGCTATATAGTTTGGGTGGCCAGGACGAGAAACTACGTGTGAACAATGCTGTCGAATGCTGCGGGATGAGTAAGATGCGTTTATTCCTAGAGAATATCTGATCGTACTGACAGAAGTTAGCTTTGCATAAATGACGCTGTAAGGATAAGGGTCTTATGTACCAGAGATAGGCAATGCAGTTTCCTCAATTTGGTTATCTTAAACCATCCCGATTGGCCAAAAGCGCTACTAATAATATCAAATTTACGGATTGCATAAGAAAATCTGATGCATGAATTTCGTATCTTCTGAATCCGCTCGGCGTCACGTTGTAGGGGAGCAGGTCCATCAAGAGAGTCACCGTAAGATAATTTTGGCAGGATTAGGGATTCGCAGAGTTTAAGCTTGAGCTGTTCTGACAGGACACTTCGACTCGGGTATAACTGACAAAGCACATTATAGGACGCATTGCGTAGTTGGTTAGGATGTTTAGTGAATCGTAGCTTGCAGTCAAACCAGATACCAAGGTTTTTGCGTTCGTTTACGAAGGATATGTCTTCATTATTCACCATTACATTAATGCGTTATTGATTTATTTCGAGATTCCTTTTGGGTCCAAATAAAATGCAGCAAGATTTGCCAGCATTCAGTTTTAGATTGTGAGCACTAGATATGTCAAAAATAGACTGCAGATCTTGATTGATTTGATGTTGGCCAAGCATACATTCATCAGGATCGAAGCTGTTATAAAGTCGGGTATCATCGGCGTAATGATGAACGACTGAGTAGTTGGCGGTTTCATGAAAATCACATATCTAAAGAGTAAATAAAAGGGGACTCCCTTGAGGGACACCAAAATTTCTGAATAAAGAAGTTGATATATTGTTTTCGTATATGAGCGATCGGCTAAGTAACTTCTAATCAGCGTGCAAGCAAGAATCAGATGTGATTGAATTTGCCTCCTTCTGTCGATCCTGAAAGTTGGTTGGCGGCAAGAGCCGTAGACTAGTGTGTTAACGGCCTTCATACCTACCCCCTGAAAGACCATCATCCACAAGGTGGCAGTGCAATGAACAAATTCATGATAAAATGATACGACTTGCCCACTATTCTTTGAACACACCTACTCATCGTGGTTTCAGAGCACAACATTGCCACACCAACGGTTCATAGTGTAGCGGCCTAGTCGTCACGCCGCCGCCGGCCAGTGCGATATTTTGCCATAATAACCACCGATAACGAACATAGTTGGTACCACCCTCACTCTGTCGATAATTCTACGTGTGGGACGCAAGGATCTGAATGTTTACTTTCGGGTAGAAATATTGACAAAAACAAGTTGAAGTTATTTTTACACACACCATAAAATAATTAGATAATATGTATTAATAATGCTGCCTCAATCGCACAGTTGAAAAAAAGGGATGAGCGACTTCAAGATGGCTCTGCAGAATGGAGGAGATGCGGGTTAACGCCCATTTAGTTGTTTGACTGAAATTTTATTGGACAAGCAAGTTTCTGGTTTTAGTCATTCAAACTGGAGCAACTTCAGTTGCCTGAACCTATCATTACCTAATCCCGTTATTCTTTTGCAATCCCTTATCACGTCGAGTGAACTGGGAAAAATTGACAAAAGGATATGAAGTCCTTATATTCCTAGAAGGATAGAGATATAATTTTTTGAAATACAGAGATACTAAGCGTCTTGAAATAAGAAAATAGTGTATATTTGCGATCCTTGTAGCTAGGTAATTAAAAATTACTTACTTAATCCATTCCTCTTCTACCGGATCTAGCCAGTGTAGAGGTTGATATCTTTCTACATTTTATCTTATTGTCTTTCACCATTTTGTTCTGTCTTTAGCTAATCCTGCTCATTTCCAGTTAAAATGCATCTTAAGTACAACTGTATTTCGTCATTCCGCTTCCTTCTTGGACTTCCTTTCGTCTTTCCCTTGGATTTGTTCATTCTCCAGACCTCCATCGCCAACCGTCTATTTGGGATTCTGATCATGTGTCAAAATCACCTTAGCACATTCACTTGTATTCTTTTTTCTACACATATGACACCTAATCTTCTTATTTTTATATTTCTGACTTTGTCCATAATCTTCAGAACTGCAGTCTTTCTTATCAGTTTTATTTCACTTGCTTGTACCTTCTGTCTCTGTCTTGTACCCAATATTCACAGTTCTGAACCATATGTTACGGTAGGGATATACAGTGAATTGAACATCCTTATTTTTTGTTTTTGTAGACATTTCTTTTTTGTTAAATAGGTGTTTATTTAGATGGAAGTATAAATCTTGTAGTTGTTTTTATCTTATCTTCTATTTCTGCCTCAACCTTTCGATCATCTGTTACCATTATTCCTAAATATTTAAACTGTGCTATTCGTTGTATTATTTATTGTTCTAATCGGAATTCTATGTTTTGTGGGTCTTTAGAAATACTCATGCATTTTGTTTTGTTCATATTTATTTTCATTCCTCGATTAGAAATTGTATCCTTTTTAAATCTGAAACCCTGCTAAAGAATAACATTTAAATTGACTATTAAGACTCACAAAGGGTCCAATTTGACTATATTTTTTAAATCAAGGATATATGAGGCTTTGGGAACTACTGTTCATAACAATAATTTTCAATATATGCACATGTAAAGTAAATGATGGTTAACAGTAGTAAGTAAACTTTAAACGCCCTAAAATTACTTTCAGCTATTTTTGATATTTTTCAAACAATATAAAACGGAGGTCTGTTTTTGGGTATTTCCTTTAATATTCAAAGAATATAGTCTAACCATATTAGCAAATTTCCCCGAAATAATTGTAAACTCTGGTTTTATTGATGCAAGTTGCTCAATGGGGATTTACATGGACGCATTAAATAGGTACACCAGTTTTTGTGGGATTGCTTTTTATTAGACAACAAAGAAAACTCTTCAAATAAAATTTTTAGGTATTTATGAGAAAAGATCCCACTTATAGTAAAATTATGGCCGAAAACCGAGACAAAATGCAGACTTTGGCGACGATAATTTCACGCAGCTACTTGAAATCCATCAAATCCGAAGGCTTCTTACTTCTACGTAACCACAACAATATTGGAATCAAGTAGTTTTTGAGAATTTCTAATTGTTTATGCCAAAACACCTGTCTTTCGGCCATCACTACTAGTTTATTGGGCAATATACAGGGTTCGCTCAAAGGACATTTTATAGAAAAATGCACGAGCTTACCTTGCCGACATGAATCACAATACATTCCGGAAGATAATTGTTATTTTTATGCGAAAAACGAAGGGTCACGTTTTTTCTTCTAAACAAGTTCAAACATTTCGTATTTGTAGGTAATTTTTGTCTTCTCCACAAAAGGTTTTCCCATAAAAGCTGGTGTACCCATTTTATGTATCCATGTTTCAAATACCCCCTTGAACAACTTGCACCAATAGAACTAGACTTTACAATTATTTCGCAAACCAGCGGCTTTAGACTATTAGACTAATGTATCCGCCGGTACGCCGCTGTCCTATCAGGTGGATCGAACGTATCTGCCGTCGCGCATATAATTACCCCACGCAATCGGTACGACCTGTGGAACTACCATGTGTGGTTAATCTGTAAAATTCTTAATTACGGTGATTATATAAAATTCATCTGGAATAAGATAAAGACGAGCAGCCAGTGTTGCTGCTGTGTACTTAGTGTCAAATAATTTTTTAAAATGTACATCGGTGGTTAGGGAATTTATAGACAAAACGGTCGATTACATCTTCGCAAAGAGTTATAGCGGTACACCCTATTACCACAAATATAAACTTGCATGTGTTTCTGGAATGAAGTAGGTGGATATCGTTTATCGATCTGCGAGCGTGGACGGCTACAAATGACCGTTCAACGTACGCTAGTCTGATACTCATATTTATGATTTGCATTCTGATACCAAACAATCGTCTTCTTCTGTCATTGTGAATGATTGATAAGGGAAGAGGCAACCCGATGTGCATTAGGCTACTTAGTAGACCCCTTTGCGCCATTTCTCGAAACCCGTATTTTACGCAAACGCCTAGATGGCGATAGGTCTTGTTTATTTTATACCTTCTAGTCCTATGGCTTCACAACGAAATAAAATCTGGACAAAAACTTCTCATCATTACCATATCGCCTACAAATCGGACCGACGAAGGGTTCCGTGACGTGGGCGTGACTTCGTCACGTGAGCAGTAGAAAGTCAAACGTTCCTCCCTTGTAGCGACAACCACAATTTAGAAGGTTCCTTGCCTTGCCCACTTCAGAGTGTTTTTATTTTGATTCCACCCTACTGATACGTTCTTTAACCCGTTTGCAGCCTTATTCACAGTAACTTGTCCTTGCAAGGCTGTCTGTCAGCTCATTATAGGTGATGAGGAATACTAGGGTATTCCTAGTACTGACCAGGTACTC